TAATTAAAAGTATTTGGCTTTCCTTAAAATAGCATAAATTTCAAAATTTTGATATCATATTTCACCTTTCCTCATCTAATCATGTTTTTACATTTAGTTGTATTAGGCTGTGTCAAAATCATTTTTTTTATTTTTACAGACTTTTACTCCCAAACTTATTTCATGTGTACATCTAAAGACTAAAACTTATGTGACACCACCACCACATCGGTGTAATAATGGTAATGCTAATATTAGCTGTTTCCTTATATGGCATTCATTGATCAAGCAACCATAACTACTTCCAGTAGAAATTTCTAAAATCTTTCTCTGCAAACAATTTTTTTGGGAACATAGATTTTTCAAGTCCAGTAGTTGTTATTGCTCTTTCCACTACTGATGGAGATTTCTTTCCTAACCTTTTGTTTGAAGTAATGTAGTGTGACAGTTATTATCATTTTCTTAGCTAAAACTTTTTAAGGTAAATTCCTAAACAACATTCAAAGACATGGGCATGGGAATAATCAATGATGTTATTGCCACTAATCTCTGTAATTGTAAAAAGCAGATTTAGAAAGAAAGGCAAATCATGCAAAACTGGATACAACCAGTAAATAACACTGAACCATTTAGTGTGACATGCATAGAAAGCAATTTTTAACAAACAAATAATAAAGAAGAAATATACATGTATTTTTGGTTTATAAAATGCCTGTACCTGAAATATACAATTGTGTGAGTGTTTTTATGATGAAATATGTCCTGGTTATAGGAGCATAGTTTTTGGAAAACATTAGCATTATGCAACTATATTTATAATGGTGAATTAACAAGAAAAGCATCAAGCATTGTGACTAATGTATGGAGCAAGAAAAAAAGGGGTTGCTATTTTTTTTATATACTCATATGAACAATTTTGATTGTGTCCACAGAAGCCTATATAATGTCTATTTTTGGCCACATAAATAAGCATGATATGCCTATTATTTTAATTTCCACTAAACTCCACTTGTATCATTGTTTTCTATTTCAGTTATATGTGCTGTCTATTTTAATTGATGCTATTGTTGATAGTCCTCAAGTGATATGGTTTCTATCATTTGATACAGTTTTTGTGATTCTATAGTACCAGTCTTCAATCATCATCATCATTCAACTGTACTTTTTGTTTTAGATATTTATGATAGTGAAGCAAAGTATTGACATTCTTGCAATTTTTAGGAATTGTTTCAAACTGGGTCTCAAATCTGTTGAAGCTCTTTGCAGAATTTGAGAAATGGAAGGAACAGAAACAATATCTGATCTTTCTTACCCAAACTACTGGTCTTAGCATTTTAATAATAATTATTCCTCATTTGAACTAAAATACAAGAGAAGACAATTATCAATGATCAATTATGATATTCTAAAACAAAAAAATAAATGAAAAATCCAGACTCAAGCATTTGAAAACATTTAAAAGTTCTCCAAACATTGAATGATCTGTAGACCATTACATTATCTTAAAAAACACTATCAATTAAAAATTAGAATACATTTGGTAAACCATAAAAAATTGAAAATATCTAGTACTTGAATGAAATATCCTTGTTATTTTTATAATTTTTTTTAATAGTATTTTCATTATAATTCCTCAGAAACTAGCATTTTCACCTCGTTTAAAGTTATATATGTCTTTCTTCTGTCTTTCAGAAATATGATGTGGATTTTTACATTGATATCCATGCACACTCAACTTTAATGAATGGCTTTATGTATGGAAATACATTTGATGATACTGATCGTTTAGATAAGCAATCAGTATTTCCAAAGTTGCTTTGTTCCAATGCTGAAGACTTTTCCATGTCAAATACCAATTTCAATCGAGATGCTGTTAAGGCAGGAACTGGTAGACGGTAAGTCTTTCACGTTTTTGACATATACAGGTTTTGTTTGTGAGAAATTCTTGCACTTAATCTATGATTTACTGAGTCAATTCAGTTACTCACTGAAGAAACCTATAAGAGAAGATGTTTGAAGCAATTATTATTTGTCTTGCATATCAGTTATTAATGAGAAATGTGTTTTCAAAAGAAATTTTGGAGTTATCTCCCTTGTGTTTATAAAACTAATATGTAAGTGAGAAAATGTTATCAACTCATTTATTTTTAAGCTATTTAAAGAGGAAAGAAAAGGTAGCTTTCATCTAATTCCAATATTGCAAACATTCTTTTTCTCATGAATTCATTCTGTGTTGCAAAACATTTTACTTTTTTTCCTTTTAAACATTGTAAAAGTAACAAATCTGGAAATTTAATTAATGCACAACTATATCCTTCTAAAACTGTTCTGTTCTTTCTATTCCAAGAAAACAATTGTGTACACATTTCTCATGTTGCTAAAATAGATTCAGGAAAGTAAAAGTAATCAATAAAAATTAATTTTGAGCACTGACACTTAAAACTGTTTTTATCTAGATGATAATTAATGTAGTAGACTAATTAGTAATAATTATTTACATTTGGACTATTGTCCTCATCTTTGTTATCATTATCAAAACGTTTCTTCAGATTTTTGTTAATCCAGGTAACCTTCAGGGAATTTCAAACTTTCTGCAGATCTGCTCCTAGATATAATAAAAGCAGTTGCAAACAATATTATTCATGAAAACAAGTTATCATTACTTGTAGAGGTAAAAGGAAATGGAATAAATTTCAACAAAGTGATATTTTCATTAATAAATGATTAACAAAAAATAAAATATACTTGTATGCATGAAAATATAACTGAGAAGAAATTTAAAATTTAGCAATTAGGAATCATGTGTATCTGTAAAAGTGTTCAGTCACCCAGAGAATAATATCCCCAAGCTGAGAAAAAGTTCTGTGTTGGTGTTGTCACTACAGCATGTTGAATGTAAAGAAGGAAAAAGAGGAAGACAGAAGAAGTATCTTGCTTTTATAGTTGTTTAATAGTACCACCAAATGGTATCTTGGCTAATCTGGCAAACCAGACATGGGGTATTCCCACAAACAAAACTTTATTTAACTCACAAGAATAGATTGTTATTATTTCATTCGATGTCTAGGGATATCTCATCTTGTTTTCATTTGGTACTGCTTAGTTATGGTCACTCTGTTTCCACAGAGTTTAAGTTTGTACTACCTTACTAAGAGATTGGACTAACACTTCTTTTTATGTGCCATGTCCTTTCAGGATGTAAGTGATCATGGCTCTCCACTTCCCTCTATCCCTTGCAGCTCTCAACAAATTCCTTTCCTCTCCTTCATCCCCCCCCCGACCACGTTCTGTCATCCACTTACTTAAGTCTGGCAGGTATGTCACGCATTGTTTTTCTTTGTCTCTCTATTTGACCCATGAGTATCAGATTCTCCAGGCCCCCCTTCTTCATTATATGTCCCAGAAGCTTCAGCTGCTTCTTCCTGATGTTAAGTATAAACCTCCTCCTTGTTTGCAACTTCTCTAATATCTCATCATTGCTCCCATGCTCAGTCCATGATATCCTTAGTATGCTCCTGTAGAGCAACGTCTCTGTTGCTTTGAGTCTCTTCTTCATCTTTGAGGAAATCACCCAATATTCACTGCCATAAAGAAGGACAGATATCATGTAACAGTTCAGTATTCTTTTTTTTTGTTACCAAAGAAATCCTCCTGTCTTGCAGTACTCTGCCCTGCTTTTGGAATGTGTCCTTGGCCATTCCAATACACCACACTTACTATATCATCAAATTCATGAATTGATAATTAATCTGCTAAATTAATTAGTAAAATCTGTCAAGCCCAGTTATGATGAAGTAAATCAAAACCTTTATTTTTTAGTTTTTTCTTATTTATTTGTTTTTATCAGCATTATTCTTGAACATGTTATCTAATACTCTCACTCCATGTCTTATTTTGAAGGAAGATAATTTCTTCTTCAAGGTTAAGCCGCTTTTAACTACCAGCTCTTGAGATTGTTTACCATCATGTATTACAACCAATTTTTAGGATTATGTCTCTCTCTCTCTCTATCTCTCTGACCAGTTCTCTCTAATTTGTTTACAACGATCTTCCTATTTTAAGATTATAGCTCTCTCTCTATGTGTCTGGGCATGTGGTACACTGCAAAAAACTAATCTGTCCAGCCATATGAAGACAGTGAACAAAATCTGTTAAGCATATAGAGATGATAATATTATACTAAAGAAATCTCCTGACATTAAAATACAATTAGATATTTGTTTGTCACAAATTAGAATTTTTTTACCTTTCAGATAGTTTCTATGGGCTTAGGTCCATATTCTTTTGTATTCTGCTTATTAAGTGTCTTTTTTTTTACCTTTGGAGAGCAACTGGTACATTCCAATATTTTTAATTCTTCAGTAATTTGTTCAAGTTCAAATCATGCTAATAATTGAAAAAATGATTTGTAATGCAGCATATACACTGTGTGCCAAATTATTATCGAGATAACTTTTTTTCTAATATTTCAAAAACCGTCCAATCAATTCACACAAAATTTTCACACTATGTTGGCAACACTGAGCTGCGCAATCATTGAAATTTTCGTACTGATCTGCACAATGCTGATAACAAATATGACGCCAGTTTATTTACATTGCGCAGATCAATACGAAAATTTCAATGATTGTGCAGCTCAGTGTTGTCAACATTGTGTGAAAATTTTGTGTAAATTGATTTGACGGTTTTTGAAATATTAAAAATTTCGATAATAATTTGGCATGCAGTGTATACATTGTAATGGATTGATTTGTTTTTTATGGCTTATTAATCTTTTGAAGTTTATTTCAAACTAGAAATTATTTTTAGATTGTAAGTATTTTTTGGAGATAATAAAGATTTTATTGATATAAGTCATACTAATTAACCCATAGCAAGGGAGAGAAGAGGTGGATTCATATTTTTCCCAATGTTATTTGCACAAAATTGAATATAACGAACCTGAATGGAATTAGAACATCACTTTTTGATTTCCATTTCCAAGCCATTATCCATTACCTCACCCAGACATCCAAGCTTAGAGCACCTGATATTCCCAAGCAGTCATCCATCTAGATACTGACCAAGCTTGACATTGCTTAACTTTGGTGATCATATGAGAACCGGTGTTTCAATGTGATATGGTCATAAGCCATAACGTAATTGTACGTACATGTAATTCTAATATATATATATATATATATATATATATATATATATATATATATATAATCACATTACACTTGTAATGAAATATATGTATAATATTGTATAGTATAATATAATAAACATGCATATGTAATTATATTACTTGTGTAATGCAATATCTCTACAATATATGTATATTATTATATTTATACAATATAATTGTAATATAATGCCATATCTGTACATTTGTGATGCAATTACATTGTATAATATTGCATATTTGTTGCATTCTGCTTACATTATTGTCATTTAAATTTATTCTTCACATTGATTTTCCTTACTTTTCAACAAAGTTTATTGATATAAGCTGATGAAAATATTTCTTAGTATTTTTGAATGTAACTTCATTAAAAAAATAACTATATTAAATGCTTTCAGCTTGAGACAATACCCCTTTAACCTAAGTGAGAGCCAGTGTAGGCAATTTTCATACATAAATTTGTGTATATACAGAATAAATTTGATTCACTAAGCTCTGAATATTTTGTAAGGCAAAAAAAAGGAAATATGTCAAATATATAATTCAACAGGAAGAATGTATTGTTTGAGAATTTGCAATTAAACTGAGAATTATGAATATATTGAATACTTAATTAAATTGGAAAATATATGCATAAATCAAAAGTTTAATGAGGAGAAAGTAAATCTCCACAAAACTGAATGCTTGCCAACAATGGAAGAGTAGAAAAAATCTATATATTGAATAACAAGGATGGAAACTGAATATATTGAATGATTAAAGGATAAAATCTGCATAAATTTAATAGTTGAAAGGAAGAATATGTAAATGTTGATAATATTTGGACAAGTTATCAAAAGCCAGGGTCATTGTCTATCTAAGAATTTAAATATAGGTGTTTAGTGTGTGTGAAAAATTTTTACTGCAGGAAAAAGAATTAAAAATAAGAAAATAACTAATTTACTTTTAGTTTTATTTTGTCCTTTTATTTGCAACTGCCAGTCTTCAAACAATCCTAATATATTTCACTGAAATGCTAAAAATGAAGTTTTCATTATGTAACATCAACTTAAGCAAGAAGGATTCATTAGAATATGTTTTATTGAAATTGACTAACAATGTCAGCCTATTTCCTTTTTCATTACATATTTCTAATTTGCTAATATTATGTTAACATTATCAGTTACACTAGACAAGTGGTTCCCAATTGGTGAAGAGGAAGAGGATAGCAGTTGAGGCAGAATGATTAAAAGATGATCAAAGATTTACAAACAGTTTTAAAAAGTTTATATGCCAAAAATAAATATGATTTCAAAATTGATAATATTATGGATTACTTGTAATTGCATGTATGAGTCCTAGTATAAATAGTTATAAATAATTATTGACCAATTTTATCATTGTGATAATTTTATATTATATCAAGTATTAAGAATATAGTAATTAGCATCCGCAAATTGGAAGACTGAGTTATCACTGACAATGTCCTAATTTCAAAACTATGCTTATCTCCCTTAAACCTCTCTGTTTTTTATTTTTAAATGTACTTTTTATCACATAAAATTTGGTGAGGTGCGTGCAAATTTTCATTCTACAAATTGGAAACCACTGCACTAGACAAACATGTAAATTAGCTGCACCCTGACATTTTTGAGAAATACTATTGGGTTAGAACAAAAATTGGTAGTGTTTTTTTTTCAAATTGAATTTCAAAGACAATGTTTAGATATTTGTATACAGATGTATTCAACCACATATGTGCCATTTTGTTCAAGTATCTTTTGCCCTCTTTGAGGCAACTTTATGATTCTATACTCCCAAAATTTGGAATCTTTCAGATGAACTACTCTAAGTGCTTTTAATAGGCATCCAAAGAATTGAATCTCTTCACAAGAAAATTATGTAGAGATTGAAATCCGATGGTGCAAGGTCAGGTGAGTATGGTGGGTCTAGTAGGGAATCCTAGCCAAGCTTTGTAGATCCAGCATAAATATCTATTTATGCTGGGTTGACAAATTGACATCTAGTATTTTCCTGATGAAAGATGATATGCTTCTGATTGGTGAATTTTGCATGCCTTACAGTAATTGCTGCATTTTATCAGTCCAATTATGAAGAATGCTTGAATTCAATGTCTGATTTTGAGGAAGGTGTTTGAAATACACAAGGCACTTTCAATCCCATCAGATAGGCAGTATCACCTTCTTTGGATACAAACAGGATTTTGGAGTGGTTAACAGTTGCTCATTTTCTTTTCCCCCAGGAATTTTTCCCTTCACGTTCCTTCAGACAATTTTGTTTCATTTGAACAGAGAATTGTAAATGGAAATGCAGTTCATTAAATTTTTTCCATTAAATTGTGCAGCGACATCCAAACATTGTAGCAGTTCACTTATCCATTTGTTTTCAAATGTCTTACAGCACTCATATGTGGGGCATCTCTATGATGCTCTATGTCATGTGACCTGAATTATTTTTAATCAGCATTCTGATTCTAATGTGTTTTCCTTTCTAGAATTAAAAGGGCATTAAATGATGAAAATGCAACTTATTCTACTTCATTTTCACTTTTAATGTGCAAATATATAAAGTTCACAATCTACACACAAATCATATAAAGATGATTCTAATGATGATTATGAAGGTACAGCAGCTCAGAAAACTCACTCTGCTCATTCTGATAAGAAAAGAACTTCCAAATTTGTTGCTGAGAGCCTCAGACTCAATCTGGAGGCCTAAATCAAGTGCCATGAGGAGGTAGTGCTGCCCTGGTACAAGAGGCAACAGGACTCTACACAAGCAGGAGAAACCAGTCATGGCAGTAAGACAATTTCTGTTACCACATCGCCCCTTACATTTGGCCACCTAAGTCCCCAGATTGCAACCCAATTGATTATTATATGTGGGGCGCAGTTGAATGAGAGACAAACAAAACTCCTTGTAACACCAAAGATGAACTGAAGGCAAGGGTTATGGCAGCATTCAGAAACTTAAACAAGAGACCATCCGGAAGAGTTGCAGGAGATTTTGAAGTCATCTGGAGGCTGTGATTGAAGCTAATGCCAATTTTATTTAATAAATTTACTCTTGAGTATTTCAAAATATTTTTGTGTAATTTGGTAAAAATATCTGTTAAAATGAATGTTAGTGTTATTTTCATATTTGCGTAATTTAATTATGTATTTCCACAATTTTCATCCGATTTTGATGAAATTTTTTTGTTTGGTAGATAATTCTTCAGTGTCAGTTTAGAGTCCAAAGTACACATTCCCCTTCTCTCGGCAAAGCTTTCAGTCTCTTTCCCAAGTGAGGTTACCTTTTCCATTGCACAAAGCCTACTACTACAGTTTCATTGTCGTTTATAGCTGTTCCCAATTTCATTTTTTTTATTCTCCTGTCAGTTTTTGCAGTGCATTCACCATAGTAATAAGTAAGCTTGATTTTTTTATTACTCAACATTTATTTTTTTTAAACTTTCCTAAAGTTATTTGAGCATAGTGATCCTTGTAGCTTTACAGCGTTCTCTTTTGGTATTTGCCCATGCATTCTATTTGACAATTCATATTTGCCTAAGACATGCCACCAACTTGTCTAGGTTGCAAAACCGCTGCTGCCAGGTCCGCCATGTGAATAAGAAATAACCAATCATCTTTAGAACGTTCAGTTTGCCTGTCTCAAAATGCATTCTGGAATGCTTCAATCAGAGCCACTGAGTCTGAAGATCAACATAACCATCAGCTTTTTAGAAGAGCATACCTGAATGCTTCTGCGCACAAGGATGAAAATGATGTTCAAAGGACTCAATTCAAAGGAGAAATGCCTCTTCATCTGCTACTGAGCATGAGGCTGAAACTACTGATCAAATGACTCAACGGCTGAGGAGGAATGCCTCTTCAACTGCTGCTGTGCGTGAGGTTGAAACAAGATTGAAAATGCAAAAAAATGGTCCTTTTCAAAGCCACCCTCCATACAAATCATTGTGGATGTACCTCAGCTGTACCCAGTTGTTGTTACCAATATTGATTTTTGGATGGACTGACTTTAAACTTAAACTGCTCCAATTGAATGGTAAAAATTCCCAGTAATGAAGGACCTGGTTGAAGACAGATTATACTGCTATATATATATATATATATATATATATATATATATATATATATATGCACATGTTTCATTAAAGATAACAGACTATGATTAAGCTTTTTATTTAATTTTTCTTTTGTTCGAAGAACAAATGTTTTCTTTTCTGGACACAAAATGTGTAGAAACTGTCCAAATGTTCCCATAATTCTGAGTGTTTTCGGCTATACACTTAGCCATTTTCATGGATGATTTTATTTTTGCTTTTTAATTTGGTGTATGGGTTGTGTGTATTTTTTTAGACTTATAGGGATCTTTTATTTTTTGGACACAGCACATTTTGTTCATAGTTAATATTATTTAATGTTGGCTTTTTCTTTTTTATTATTAAGGCTTCCATTATTTTTAATTTTCTTTTTATGTGGATTAGGTTATTATGTTTGTATTTTCTACTAGTATGAAATTTGAAAGGTACAAACATTTATTACATTGACATGAAACAACATAACAAAATAAAACTTTTGCAAAATTTTGCTGAAAATTTCCTTTTGTGCACCTTATCATGAACAAGGTGAGATAATAGATGAAAAATATAGAAAATATAGGCCTTTAAAAAGATTTATAATAGAATCTTCAGATCACTAAGAAAAAAAAATGTGAGAAGATAATGCAAAAACTTTAATTAAGTTTAAAAATACTTTTTCCAAAAAGATGCACCCACCAAATTCTTCTTTATTATGCTCCTTGGCTATTCCAATACACCTTTAGATTTCAGTATCACACTTTCCATCCTTTTTTAAAACACTTCCCAGATATTTAATTTTCTGCATTTGTTTGATTTTGGTATCTTTGATTTGTAATTTACATTTTGGACTCATCATTTTGTTAACAACCTTTGCATTC